CGGCATTTTTAAATAATGGATGTAACGCGCGCGAATATTACCATCGTTTCCGGCTTCGAAAATAAAACAACGCGCGCGGCTCACGTAACTAAAATAATATAATGTAGGTATCATGTCGCGCGTAATGTGAATTTCCGTTCGATTGCGATCGGTTTTAAAATTTTTTTTTTTCCCCGTCGTTTTCTATTCCTGTTCTCAATGGTGGTACGATATTACTATTATACATATATAATATTATGAGTGCACCATTCAATAATATATTCCGTAATAGGTATACGTACGTCCGTCGGGACGCCACGCAAAAATAGTCAAAAATATTCAAATTCAATTCACGCGCGTTATCGCAACCACTACACATTATTATAATGAAAAATTAAATTGCCGACACCCGAAACCGGGTTTAATGTACAGACGTCCGTGGGTAATGCTATTACTTTATTTACGGATCGCGCGTGAACGATTCAAAATGTCCACGTTTTGTTAATGATAATCTAACCAGCCGACCGTATAATTTTAATTTTATCTTATCGTACTACAATGTACCCACGGTAAAAAAATTTCATTCATAAACCTGTGCGTGGTTCATTAACATAAAAATGCGTGTATCTATACTACGGCACCGTGTTTGCCATAAAATCGACACCGAATTCATTCAATCTCCCGAAATGACGTCATTGGTGTGAGTGTATTTCGTCGTGCGAGTTATTTTCAACGCCAAATCGATGCACACGTCAAATACGAAATCGACGGTATATCACGTCGTGTCCGGTTCGAATGCTCAGACGAATAATTTTCATGTTAAATTTATTTATTTCCAATATAGTTTATACTGTGTATATGTAATTGTTCTGGAATTCACGCTATGTATAGACTGATATAAAAGTCCTTTACATTTTTTTATTGCATAATACGTAAATGCTGAATAAGAAAATAAATATTTAATATGAAAATTGCCGCAATTTAAAATAACCGCTAAATAGAATTATTTAAAATGTTTATATTGGTATAGTTCGTGCACCTTCGAACTCAAACTAATATATCTAAAAATAGATATTTATAAATAACAAAAATTTGAATGGCACTTTATTACCAAAAAATGAGAGAGTTTGCGAAATTAAAAATTTAATTAAATTTACTTTTAACCGACCAAACTTTTTAAGCCAAAACACAATATATAACACGTCATCATGTCAGTTTCAGCCTCTGCTCCTTGGTCATCAAAATCCATTAATTAATCAACAATTATTCTGCTAAATCCTTAATAACCCCTTAAGACATCTAAAAGAAACCTAGGTACCTATATTTTAAATGGTTGTGTGAAATTTCTGAATAATTTTCCAATTATGTTATTTCTGTATATTATTAACATACAATCAAAATCACTAATTTTACTCTTTTATGTATATTTTGTACTTAGATTTATATAAATACTTATATTTAACAATACATTAATAACTAATTAAGAATAACATTTTCTCAAGTAACCACTAACCAGTAACCACTAATTATTACGTTATTTATCAAAAGTCCAATTTCTGCTACACACGTAAACTATTTTTATAAAAGTCACATATTGTAAAATACAAAGTTTATATTACAAACAACAATTATTTTGAATTTTTAAGATAAACAATAGATATTTAAAAAAACAGTTATCTGATTTTTACACAATACGCAGAAGTTTATTATTTATTTCCCTGAACTATTTTGATAAGGTGAGGTGATCTAATAATATATTTTCTGGTTGTTAAATTCTGAGAAATTGTTACTCTAGCATACCTACATTAAATTATTAAAAATCCCAAAAATCAATAACATTAATATTATTTAGTTAGTATACGATCATCATTCGTCTAGTCTTCAAATAGTTCTATAATAGTACATAATTATATCAACTACTTGCTTAAGAGGATATAAGCGCAATACTGCCAATACTTATTTTCTCCCAGACCCATGCGCAGCATAGATAAAATGTATTTAAGTAAAATAATTTTTATTTGAAAATAAATAACTTATCACATCAATAAGGGGATAATATTTTCTAGAGTTATATTTTATTATTATCTGGTTTAATGTTCGTTTTAAAATTTAGAAAAAATATGTAAATTTAAAAATGGATATTATATTTTTTGAGACAATAGTAAATCAATAAATTTTATGTTTATAAACAAGACATACGTAAATTATAATAATCTAAGTACTATTATTTTTCCGGGCCTCAATTAAGAGTTATCCTCAGTCATGTAAGAATTATCAGGTTTATAATCCTTTTAAATATATCTGTATTTTAGTATACACGACTTAATATATTACTTATCTTTTAGTGGATACTCAATATTTTTATCTATAGGTTTTATACACCAAAACGTACATAATCTATCAAAAATTTTATATCAATTGAACTCTAAAATACTATACCTTTGTCATATTTAATATTATTTATTAAGTTTAATAATTTTTCAACAATATATATTCATTCATATAATAATTGATCAATTATTCCTTGGTGTTATTAAAATTCTTTAATTTGTCACCTCTAAGTAAAATAATTTCATAGGTGTTAATTAATAATACTATTTCTTAAAATTTCAAGATATTCAAAATACTGTATTTTATCAGAGTAGATAAAAATATTAACAACTAGTTACGATTCAGTTTAATCATATATTTGAACAATAATAAATTTAATTGAAATTTTACGATACATTAACTGTTGCAGCAGTTGCAAGTTTCACCTACAGGTACATAAAATGCATTATTTTATTCAAATATTCAAACGTATGTAATGTAACATATTTTCATTAGAATGAAATTGAATTTATTATTATGACATTTAGGTACCTTTATTTTTATTTTTTTTATGCTACTAATTATATTTTATATATAAGTTCAATAGCTATTCAATATTATCGACTATTCAGTAAGCAACTGTGGTTTTTATTTATAAGTATTAACTACCTAGGTAGTCTCATAATTTGTTCGTAATATTATTTTAATAATTGATTATGAAATATTTATGGTTTTATAATACATTTATATTTCACAATACCCATTAAGGCATCTAGGAGTAATAAATAAATACAAATATAATAACCCAAAAAATTTCAATAAATACTAGCTATAAATGGTATACGTGATATTTAACGCACCGTGACCGGTATTTCATTGAAACTGAATTGAAGAAGACGAAATACTACACCCGCTCTACATCCTTTTGCAGACGTGCATATATTGTTGTTTTCGCGTGACAATACGCGATACACATTATACATTATAACATAAATTATGTCTCGCCAATAATAATAATAACATTATTATAATAATAATATATTATTGCCCTTCTCGCGTGTCTGGTGTCTCGTCGCCCGGTATACAGGCGTCTGGTCGAATAATCAGGGGAAATTTTTTTTCGACACCATCTCGAAACCGCCAACTCGATAAGAACACGGTAGCGACAGTGGCGGCATGTGGTCTACTCGGGCAGGTGGGTGAATGAAGTGTGGTGGGCGCGATGTACTGGAGACTCAGAGTCGTCGTCACCACTACCGTCTTCGTCCCGATTAATTATTAATAAAAAAGGTTTTCACCTATTAGCAAAACGCATACATAACGTTGCGAAAATACAACATCACATATGAAAATATATCATTATATCTAATTGTATACATTTTAAAATTTAATTTAACGTATACAATTATAATCTGTAGTTGGTAAGGTAGTACCTGTCCTGCGACTGGTAACTTACGATGGACACATTTTTCATAACTTTTTTAGCTTAGATAGTACAACTTAGCGTGTTTTTTTAAATTTTATTTTTAGATTAAATGCATTGAATGCGCTTAATACAATTTATTAATTTATACATATAGTATTCTATGAAAAAATGCAATTATATAATATCTAACATATTGTTTTATAGCGATAGCACAGACTTTAATACTGAAACTAAATCATTGAATATTTTGAAAAACATAAAACTTTACTATTTTTCTACTTAATTTTTTTTTCAACGCCAGATCCGATATTATTGGGCAGATCTTTTTCGACTTTTAAAAGTGGTTTTAATCTAAATAAATATTATAAAAAAAAACTATTCTATGGTCGTCTATTAATTTTTATTTTCAAATTGATCTTAAATGACAATTTACATCATTTAAATCTAAAAAAATATTTATTAAAAACATAAAAACTATTTTTATTTTTACTTATTATTTTCTTATGATATAATATGTCTAACATAAACACCTATATATATATATATATTTATTTATGTATACTCCAATTGTTAATGTATTAAGTGTTGATTTTAGAATATGAAATAAGTCAAGGACATATAAAATTACATTTTAAAATAATCAAAAATACAATCACCGATACCCAACTATACTTGTAGACAATATCAAACTATACCGGTTCTCTAAATTTAAACATTAATGTATCAAAGTTGCACACACCTAGGTGAATGGTTGAAATGAAATCTATTGAGTGGGCTAGCTTCTAAACAATTTTTAATTGTTTATCAATAACAAACTATCGTGATGACTGATGACTGATGATGATGCTAATAATAATAATAATAATAGTACATATCCATGACAGCATAGTAGCAAAGAGAAAGACGCAATATCGGCTTGATGGAAGTAGTATAAGATAGAGAAGAAGAAGAAGGAGGAGGAGGAGAAGAAGAAGAAGAAGAAGAAGAAGAAGAAGAAGAAGAAGAAGGAGGAGGAGGAGGAGGAGGAGGAGGAGGAAGAGAAGGAGAAGGAGAAGAAGAAGAAGAAGAGGAAAAGAGGAAAAGGAAGAGAAAAACAGAAGAAAAAGAAACAAATCAAGTAAAAAAAAAAAGAAGGAAGCGTGGCGTGGCGCGGCGCGTAGGTATACGTGACGTACAGACGCGCGCCGTCGGGTCCAAGGGTGGTGGTGTGACGGTGGCGGGGGCGGCGGCGCGGTGTATAAATGTAAACACTAAACACACGGATTTTACACACGCACGCCAATGCTCTCGCGCTCACGGGGTACACAATCCAGCCGCCACACTCACGCGTCTTCTAACGACGAAGCGAAGCGCCAGAACGACGTCAAGTGCCAGAACGACGTGTGCAATCGCCTATCCCGCACGGACAGCGACACATTAACCACTACAATAAAACATTCGTGTTTGTGTTTTTTTTCCGTATTTTTCCGTACCGATTCTATCGCGTCTTCGTTAACCGGTGCGCGCTGAGCCACCCCGAACCCAGAGCTCACTCTATCTCTTTCGAGACTTCGCCGCACGATTTTTTTGCAAACAATAAATTCTGCGGTCTTCCGGCGCACAATTCTCTGCAAATTTTTTTTATACTGTTTCACCCGCACACACGCTGCTGGGGAGTAGAAGATTTTAGTGAAATTTCGATTATATTTTTTATTGTCCGGCGACATAAGTCATAACCGCCACCGTCGTATATAACACGTCGATGACGATCTTTATGCCAACCACAATGATGATGCTGACACCACGGTTACTAGTTGCCATGGCTGTGCTGTGGGTGGTTACTGTCACGGTGCAGTCCCGGCCCACCGTCGATTCCGGGGAACCGGAACTAGAAGAGTCCGCGGAACCTCCACCCGATCCCACGGTCTTGATGGTGCCTGTACGTGTACTCACCGATCCGGATTCGTCGTTTGGCAAAATTTTGCGCAATCAACTGCGTACCATGTCCGATCACGATCTGTCCGTCCTGGAGTCGAGTCTACAAACCGGAACCAAAACCGATCGCTCCGAAGACGACGACGTGATGATGGGGGATATGCCGTCGGCAGACGATCCGCAGGACTCGTCGTCACCAGCTACCTCGCTTGGACTAGCCACAGTGACGCCGGACGATTACACCGACGAGATGTTGCGCAGAGAAAGGTATAATAATAATACAGATACATAAAAAAATAGTTACGCATAAATATAGCAGGTTGTATGGGGGCAGTTTTCACTCGTGGTTAACGCACGTGGTCTATAATTAGAAATGTTTATTATATTTAGTTGGGGTTTGTACTTTGATGTTGTCATTGTTGCAATTTTATGATTACGACAAGATTTAAAATACCTATATTGCGATGATGCAAGGGGGGTGCTTTTTTATTCAATATATTTTTTTAAGGGAATTTAATAATTAGAAGTAAGATTTGTATGAGTTTAGTATCAATGATCCATAATATTAATTTTTTACAAGAAGCCCTCAATATTATAATAGTCCCACTCTAAATCTAGATTTAGCTCTGGCAATTTATTTTCCCTTAAACATCTTATTCGCGATCGTTCGGCCGTCTATATTTCGTATTCTAAGAACATAATTTTAAAACTTTATTCATGACTCAAATCCCACGTGTATACACGCTTTAGGTGGTTCGATTTTATTATTATAGTTAATATGCTTATTGGCATATTACCAGTGTACCGTCATATCACCCTCGTTGAAATAATTCTGTTGTTTTGATGAAATTAAACTTTATCTAAAACGATAGCTTACGTCAATTTAGAATATTATGTTTGCGTCAATTTAAAAAACTGAAACGAAGCCTAGAATTTACACGGCTTAGTTTTCGGTTTGCCGCAAACACGCTGAGTTTAATCATACGTGGGCCCATATGTACATCGGACACACTAAATTTAGAGCAAACCCTCTCTGGGCGTGTCCAGACAATCGCGTAAAAAAAAACAAGAACTTAATTCGATAGGAGTAAAAAAAAAAAAAATGTATAAAAGAAAAATGCGCATAATATTTATATACATAAATAAACGTTGGACAGTCAACAAAAATGAATCACTGTTGTGTACTTATATCACTTCAAGGCAAATAAACATTATATTTCTTTTAAAATAACGTAACTTTCCTAAATGTAATTAATTTAATTTGAATTCGAAGAAAAACTACCTACCAGAATATCTTATTAGTTCCAAAAAATAAAATTGAATGAACATATTTTATTGTATATTATATTAGATAAAAAATATTATTGATTATCTCTGAAGAAATATGATATAATATGTATATATGTATTATGTATATTATATATAAATAGGAATTCAAATTCAAAAATGTATAAAGTTTAGGTAATTAAAATATTAACTATATTATAATGTATATTTAACCTTATCATTTATTTTATAAATATGGTCAATAATCTCTTTAAACACCAATATAACAATATTTCAAAACGTTAAGAACATATTATGATAGTCAATTCAATATATATATGTTTATATTTTATAATAAATGTAAGCAATTTAACTACTAATAAAATATATCCTATACAATTCTATAAACATTTGCAATAAAACATGTTTAAGATGATAATAATAAACGTGATTAAAAATTGTTAACAATTGATTCTATAAACGATTGTCATTATATCTGTGCAATTCTAAAATATGTGATTGTTATTAATTGTTAATTTAAACTGTTGAAAATTAAATATTTATTTAGGGCATATATTTTTATATTGTGTACTTATAATTATTGATTTATAATAAGTTATCAAATAAAAAGATGTACAATTATTGATGCAACTAATAAATAACATAATATTCAATACAATATATATTGTATGCATAACTAATTTCAAACAAATACTTTTCAAGTTATCTTAAAATATGAAACAATTATGTTTCAAAAGTCTTGCTTCATTTTAGTTTCAAAATCATGAAATTTTTTAAATTTATTTACACACTGTATTACAAATAATTTCCATAAAAAATTTAAATATTCTTTCATAATATAGATTATGAACAAAATAACTATAAAAATCAAATACATAGCTTTATTTTTAAAAACAATTTTTATATCATGAAAATTATTAACCTTTTTATGTAGCTTTTTAATAATTATTCATAAAATGTTTTTATTTTAGGAAATGCCTTTTTTTATTTTATTGATTGTAAGTACATTACTTTTAATACATAAACAATAAAATAACGTCAACTAACTCTTTAACACTTACACAAATATATGTATTCAACCAAAATAAAATGAATTATGTAATTGCATGTAATTTACATGGAAACTCGTAAATTAATTCTATCTAAAACATCCGGATCAGAAACGTTTTTATTTTTAAATTTGTGCATTATTCATCAATAATTGAATGTCTGGTTGATACCCAAAATCGATTTCCGTTACAGCACAATCTAACGGAATATCTAATTTACCGATTTCAAAATCATAAAATACCAGAAAATATTCAAATTTTCTAGTTATCAGAAAAAAACAAAAAACTATTTAGTAATTATTATTATAGAAGGATAATAAGTATTAATATATTATTGTAGAAGGATAAGAAGTATTAATGTATTGTTATAATAATTATATAGGTATCTATTTTCATGTTGAATTTACTAAGTACATATTATAACAGCATATTTAATTTGCATAAATAATAGGTGTAATGTAAAAACTGTTCCAATTTTTAAATACACAGAAAAAACTAGAAATTATAAATGTGGATAGATAAATTAATGTTATTAAATAAAAATCCATCTTAAGCGAAATTTATTATTATTTTATTTTTTAATGAGACCCCATACGCTCTCTAAATTACAAAATGTTGGGTGCATATACAGTGTACACCGTACAAGTAATGTTTGACGATTATGTGTGTATACGATTTAATTTTTTTTTCGTCTCGGCTTCTTAATTTATTCGTCTGGACCATTATGTTTTTATTCATTTTAAACCGAAATTTAGGGGGAAATGCACTTGACGACTGCATTTCCAGACAGATTTTAATGCGTCTACTCGGACGTTTTTTAAACGATTACAGGTTTTGTGGGTTTCGGTTTTTATTTTTCGTTTTTGGTTTCGTTTGTGACCCGGTTAATAAATCGAGACAAAAAATAAAAATAAAAAACAAAAACCTAAAGTACACGCAAGTAAATAGGTGCATTTACAATAAATCTGACTTGTTCTCTTGGCCGGTAATTGCGCGACGATCTCGGTTTAATGGGATTCGTCTACATCACGGTCTCCGGCCTTGGTTTTCCAGACAAAGCTTAAAACGTGACCATTAATATTTCATATCTGATTTATATTTGCTCGTAGAGATTAATAATTTTTCGCGTCGTATCGTACTAATAATATTAAAATATTTTGGGGTTGGAAATAATTATCATAACCAAAAAGTATCTATCACCACATAACACTTGCATTTATTTTTAATTTAATCGCTCATGCTCCAATGAAATTTGTTTATTCACAGCCCCGAGTCTACAGATCCCGAGGTCAGGTATGTTGATTCATCAACGTCGTAAGTGTGCGTGTGTTTATGATAGTGTTTCTTCTTTAACCTGATGTTTTGTGTTTATTTTTATCAACCGTAGTTAGTGTACCATTATTGCTATTATTGTAATTAACACGTAATAATTACCTGTATGCTATCATTTTTGTCGTTGTTATTATTGTTGCTGTTGTTTTACCGATTGCATAAAACCAAACACTGTTTAATACATATCTCGCTTTAATATTGTAGTGACAAAAATCTCAGAATTCAAACCATTCACAATCAGATGATAAACTTTATGGGAAGGAACATCCCCCAAATACTTTCACCGAGTCCAATGATGAAGCCGGGTCCGATACCTATTCAACAAAGAGATGCCATAAGAATATTTTACGACAACTTAAATAATTTTCCAACTTATCCTTCTGATGCGTTTACTGAAAAAACTCAAAGCTTTTATCCTACTTGTAAGTTGACATTTTATGTAAAAATTATAATTAGGTACAAAAAACCATCGTAGTATAACACGTGATATTATATTTTATGGTTTTAATTATACACAGGTGACTTGCCAAGACACACAAACGAAGAAGTCTGGAATACAAAGGAATCAATGAATTTAATGTTTAATATTAGTTTACCCAAGTCGTCTAAGGGTATCTCAATAAACGTAAATATGGCTAGACTCAGGCTCTATAAACAATTCGTATCTTGTTATTCACAATCGAGTAATGAGGTATGTACTGACACATTTAATTATTGTTTCATAATTTAATGTTTAATTTTTTTTAATCTGTTTATCTGTAGACCGATGATTCTCAAGCATGTCCGTCGACATTTTATGTAGAAACTATGAAACAACCCAACACTAATTTATCTACAGCTGGTGTAGTACCGTTAATAATGGACGAGAGACAAATTCGTGTATCAATTTATGCATACACCAGATCACTTAAGAGAAAAAGAGGTAAAATTTTTGAATGAGTATTTTTTAATTTATTTTTAAACTAATGAATTCGTTACTTAACAGTAAAGAGAAAGTTATTGGATAGTCGTATGGTCCCATACTATAGTGAAAAATGGACAGAATGGAACATTCGTAATGCAGTAAAAGCTTGGCACAAGAACCCAGTTCGTAATTACGGAATCAATGTTGAAGTTGAAGATGAAGATGGCAATTTATTGCCAGTCAGCAAATTTTTTAGACCCATGAATTGCTCGGGAGATGCGCAAATGAGTAATTATTTATTTGTTTTCAATTATAAAAATAATTAGCAAAAAAAAAAATGTACATGGTAATATTAATTTTATATTATGCATTCCGTTATTGAAAAAATTTTGGTGAATATAATATATAAATATTTGAATGAGGACTAAACTAACTCAGTCAATTTTTGTTTTTCGAAAAAATATATGTATTTCTAAGTAGTTGGAACTGCTCTACATTTTTATGAAAAACAAAACATAATTTTTATTATGGTGATTTTGGGTTATGTGTTTAAACATTGGCTACACAAATCATATTGAAAATGAGCCATGATAAACTATCATATTTCAAATTTATTGTATAAATAAAAAATATCAAAATTGGCTTAGAAGACGAATAATTATTGTGCTCATTGTGATAGTTAAAACTGTCATCTTTGAACAAGCCCATAGTATTATAATACTCACATTTACATTGAGCGCATCTTATCTGTGTAATTTATTTAATGATTGTTTTCTGAAATGTTATAGTGACCCCGAAGCCAGTGCCTGGGTTCATAATGGAGGCAGTGCACAATGGTTACGGCAACCCGACTATCACAGCCAACAATACTAACGCAAACACGGTCGACGCATTCGCGCTCAGCTTCAATATGCACCGGTATCCAATAATGGACATTACCACGGTAGAAGTGCCGGAATCAGAAGTGAACAACGCAATGCTTTACCAGTACGCAAAGAACACGTTCGAACAAGTGGGTGGTAGTGACACAGTTTCGGCGCCTTACTTACCGGCGGGGCAAGGAGACCAGGGTAACCAGCACCGGATCCGGCACGGTAGTCGGCAACACCAAAACAACGGCACCATACCCGGAAGTCTGTCCAGGGACGGCCACGAGCTACGCGACCAGATCATTGTGCAAGGCGTAATCCAGCGGAATGTGCAGCACAAACCACAGACCACCGAAATTCCGGACTTTGGATAGTTATGGCAGAGTTAGACGACCAAAAATCATAATATGTTATACGTGTGCACAGTGTGTTTTTAAAACATCTATTTTAGACTCACCGGTGCAAATAAGATGATAGTTGGCTTGGGTAAATTTTATACACTTCTCCAAACAAACAATATTTTAAAAGTAATCTTAATCCGCTTCCCACCCTGATATTACAGCAATATGCGTTAATTTAATTTTGTATCTTATTAGGTGTATTTATTTTATTTTAATACTATATTTGTTTAAAAATAAATTTATAAAGCTTAAATATTACTCATATAGTCGGATAACATATTACCGGTTCACAATTTAAAAAAATAAATACTCTGTATCCATGTATAACATAATATAATATAAACACAGTAACATAATACGATACGACACTAAATAAAATGCCATTTCTTTGCGTGCAAAAATCATTCGTTAATGTAATAAAACTCGATTAAGCCGCTGAAAGATGAATAAATTATAGGTTTAAATAACACAAGCCGTGTCCGTTCCGACTTAGGTCCGTACAAAACAAACACACATACGCACATTTTTTTTTTTAAATGACAAAAAACTTAAAATCCTAATTCCCAGTTTTATATATTATATTGTTGAGGTGGAGGGACATAATATTATATATTAATGTATGTACATACGTGTACGTATAGTGTATCGATTAAAAATAGATGTAGTATAACTTTAATTTATTATTATTATTATTTATTATTATTAATATTATTATTGTACTAATACTATGTAAAATGTTCCTATAGTTTTTATAATTAGCGACGATCAATATAAAATCAGTAAAGTTGTGTTTTAGTTTCATAGCCGTTCTATGACGTTTAATCGACACATTACCTATTTAATTTATTAAGATCGTGACTCTGCCATCGTTGAAATAGAAAAATCGCGTTTCAATTTTAATCTCAAAAATACAATGACAGTAATAAAAATTAGTACCCCCTGCACCGTTGACATTGTTATAATAATTCGTGCCTTGGTTGTACACACTATTCGTTAGGTACCTATATACATTTTTTTTATATTATTTGAATTTTAGTAATTTATTACATTTTGTTAAATTATTAATTTATTTCATACAGACTAGAGGACGTTCGTATTTTTCTTTTTTTTTATGTATAGTAGGTATTTATTTTATTATTTACTGGTTAATATTATTTACTGGTACCCACTAGGTACCCCTAATTATATGTTATGTTTGTTAATGCGCAATATATTATTCATCTCATCTAAAGTGATGTCTTTTATCATCCGAATATTATATTGACCGCATACTTCTATCAATAATATATTTCAACTATTAATTTATTTTATTTATTAGTCTTAAGTTTTTTTTATGTCTTTTTAAAATAGCTTTTATAAGTTATAACGAACACATTCATAATGTGTTTAGACATAATGCTTCCTAACAATGTACCCTTTTACATGTAAATAATCGCTGTACTTTGTTTTATTTATATTTATATATATATATATATATGCACATTGCACATATATGCATAGATGTATCGTATATTATGTGTGTATGTGTTTTTTAATTTTTTTTTTTTAAATATATTATAATATAATTATTACTATAAACGAATAGCGCAATTTTATTGGTTGTAATCACCGTACATGCACACTTTCACAGTTAACAAGTAGCTACATAATATGTGTAGATGCGTTAGTCCTTGAGAATAATGTACGAAGAACACTGTACAATATGCTCACTTAAGTACCGACTGTTACGCTGCACGAGTACCTAGTTACACAGATATTCACGAATTAGTGTGTTTCGACAGTTTCAAATACAAAGTTCTTTTTTAACTTTTAATTGTTTTTGTTCTGTATCAACAGCTTTTACTATGCACCGATGACCACGTAAACTTTAAGTAAGGTAAGATATTATAACATGCATATTATTATAACAATTTATAATACTATACTTGCAACAATTTTTAAGAATCACAAAGTTATTTTAAAATTTAATTAAATAGATAGGTATATTTTGTATTTTTTTATAATCAATATTAATAAATAAAAACAAATTTAGTATTATATGAAAAAATTTAAACAAATAAAAACTCGAGATGCATACATATTTATTATGATTTTTATTTAGTTAATAAAAGATACAAGTTTTTGACATAGTTTAAAAAAAAAAAAAATAATAATAAATGGAAAATATATGCACGTCATATAATTTAATTTTACAACGTTTTAATTCAGTGTTAAATTTGTGCATTAATAATTTGATGATATTTTACACATAAACATCATTTTAGAAACAAATAACAATTAATTACGTTTGCTCCTTTTATTGATTTACGCCAGGTGAAAACCAATTGTTTCATCTTCCAAACACTTATTTCGCCGGTAAATTTTTTTGCAACTTTTAAAAAAAGTAAATTTTAAAATATGAATAATTTAATAAAATTTTAAAGTAATAATAACTATATTATTATTAATACACTTATATTATACTAGATTTTTGATCGTAACGATATCATTTTTTATAGTAAAACGTACTGACATAAATTACTGCAAACTTAAAAGTGAATAAAGAAATTGTTTCTATAAGTAATGAAATTAATTGACCATTTTGCATTTCACTCATTAAATTAATCAACTTGTGTAAAAATATTTTTAGATTTTTGAATAATTCTCATGTATAGTGTTTAAATAATATTATATAATACGTTCTATTTTTATGTTTTTATTTCTTGAGGAATTGTAAATTCAAGAATTCTCAACTACTTACTAGCTCGCAATCACTGTGTAATGTAATATTTACAATTTACAGTATGGTATAGTGAAACGATTAAAACAACAAACCTGAGCAATGCTAATAAAAGTATTAATTACCGATCATGCTATTATTGTACATACAAATAATTACCGTATTTATAAGTAAGCACACAGATAAAATATTATTTGAATAGCGTTTTCTCCAGCGCGCGTTCAATCATAATATTATTGTGTTATTATATTTGTCCACCGGCTAGAACGTTTAATTTTTTATTATCTGTCGCCGTCGTTTTACGGTTTTTGGTTTATTTCGGTTATATCTACTATACATCACAACATATTTCGCACTATTCTACATCGAATGATCGTTTGTTATGAATCGCAATACGCATAACACTATGATGAATTATGTAATCATTTTTAATGTTCACCGTCTTTCATCAAAGCAATATAATATAATAATATAACATGAGTACCTATATGACTGATATACATATTATGTTGTATAGTTCGAATTACATTATTTTTTTGCTATTGGTCGAAGATATAATGTTAATGCTATAATTATTATTATTATTATTATTATCATCAGTCTTCACATACCTAAGACTTAACTACGCTTTTTTTCGTGGATTTTATCGTTTTGATTATTTTTTACGTATGAAAATAAGGTACACAACTTTAATCTCTATGAATTACCTCTTATATTAGACTCATAGGTGTATTGGGTATTGATGTATTGCATTAATATGAATCATGATGTATCTACTCGTAATTCGTTTGTTTGTTTGCATGTTATTTTTTTTGTTTTTTTGTTTTTTTTTTTTTACTGTTCAAGGTTGTCTAACGTAGTAGGCAATACATGTGTTCACAACAAATTTAATCATTGTTTTTATTACTATATTGCTAGAATATCACATTATTAAAATTATTGGAAATTTTCTTCATACTTTTACTAAGAAATTACAACGTTACAACTACAAATTATAATATTTGTGTAAACCGTTTATTTTAATATTCTATAATAATAATGTAATCAGTATTTCATATAAGTGCAACTGTTTTGCCAGGAATTAAAGCTTTTTCTTTTAGTATTAATTATTTCAGTGTTTGATAATTGATATACTTGTTTATTTTCTTAATAATTGTATGTGGTAGATGAGTACCTATATGCTCGGTAATTATAGGTTTAAATTATTTTACAAGCAATTTGAATTTTTTTTAACTATTGTCTGTTTAATAAGAAGGTTAAACGGATATATGAATTGGCTATTGTACAAATTAGTTTAATTATTAAAGCAAGCACATATATTCATAACATAGTATACGTGTGTCTTAAGAAACAGGGAATACTTTATCACTCACTACCCTGTAAATATTTTTCAACTCTATTTACAGAACATTAAACTAGGTTAATGGATCATAAATCAAATGATTTAAAAATTTTTAACTCATATATTTTGCGCATGCGTAACAAACATTCTTTTTTTTTAAATAGCAACCCCTATTTTAAATATCGTTTTAGATTGATCGATATTTTTCAAGTAACTTTGTTACATAAATTTGTGTTTTTAACTCAAAATTGGCTAAATTAGAGCTATAAGTATAATTTAAAAAAAACAATCTTATTAAATTTCCATTTTTTTTTTTTTTTTTTTTTTTTTTTAATGTACCGTATTATTTCCTTCTAAACACAGTAGTAATTAAATAAAAATTTTGAACAATTTATTTAATAGTTTGCCTGTAATCTCTGTGAATTAAATTGTAAATACAAATTTATAGTATTGTTAAAAAAATAAAATAGAAATATAGAATTTTTTTTTCCTGAAAATACACGTTTAAATTATGTTATTTCATTAATAACACATATACACATTATATGTCAATTTTAAAATTTTCCAAGAACTAATTAATTCGGTCACGTTTAATTTAAATGTTTTACAAATGAAAAATACAATTTAAACAAAAATTAATGTTTTCGTGATGTTATCATAATATTAAAATATTTTTCCATTTTCATTTTTCAGTAGCTATAAAATCTTATAACTATATATATTACCAATTTATATTTAAATAATGTCTATAGCATATTAAATTTACTATGAATAATTTAAACCATATGCATATTTTTTCATACTTTTTTTCTCTGTCTATAAAACTATGTAATGTAAATAAATATATTAAATCACATCATGCATATTATGATATTAAATCAACATTTTTAGTTTGTAGTAAAATCGGATTGTACCACTACATGTTAAATGTAACGTATATGTTATATGAAATATTAAATTATTAAGTTTCCTATAACTTGGGTGTGGTAAAGTGACAATACACAATATTATATTATGTTTTATACATATTTTTTCTTTACATTTGACTGTGCTAATATCTTACGTTATATACAAAAGCTGTTTAATACTTATTTTTACATTAAATTATTATATAATTTCCTCGTTTTGAGCAATTTAGCGATTGAATTATAGTTTTATCACAAATTAGTTTATGTTAATAATTACTTTTTATTTAACATTAATATTGCGTTGTGAAAAATCAAATACGGGTACAAATATATCTGCGACGCTTGGTTAAACACTTAAATAATCTTTCCCGTTCAAATAGTTTGTTTTAGATATCTCATCAGTTAAGTAATAAAATAAAACTAAAACTACTCGTGTGATTATTTTATTCAATACCTATTCGTACATATTATCACAATCTTATATGTCCTTGTAATAAATATTAGATAGAAACATCATATTTAAAGATAGAAGCATAAAATATCATAGTAAAAATTAAATCAAAATAAAAACACAGTTATTAACTTTATTACCTAGCTGTATGGTGGTTAGAAAAATAAGTGATTCATCTTACCAGTCCTTAAAGTAATTGGATTTTTTATTATTATTATTGATGAAAACAATTTCCACTTCATTTTAAACTAGCTTTGTACAATTTTGATTAGGTACTTATAAAAATATTTTTTCTAATAATATTAAAATGTTCCATTTTGGAGAGGGGTCCATTTCAAGTGTCACTTTTAAGGTGCTAGGTATTTTCTATTTTTAGGTGAAGTATTGCCACAGAATGCTTCTTTCTACCACGTCATCCAATCATTGTAATTCACACACACACAGATTTACATAGATATAAATGTTGTGTTTAATTATTTAAAAAAAAAAAAATAAAAATAATGAGTATTTTACATTTATTGTCGATTTATCCCGTTAATATATAATATTTTGACAGTATGCGTTTGATAGTAAGAGTTAATTCACATTTTTCAGTATTAGTGAACATTATTTTGACGTTAGAAAACAATTAATTGTTCTGGTGCGTCTAACTTTTAGTATACTCAGTATGTATCGATTTAAATAAAAAATCTTGTCACTATTGTATTGAGTATTGATTTTTTTATTTCTTTTTTCATTATGCATATATTTAATGGAAGAATGCAAAATGAATTAAAAGTTAACTTATGATAAAATTATATTTATATGTGAAAGTACAGAAAATAAAAAACATGATAGAATACCGGTTTTAAGTTTAAATTTCAGTTTATAATTAATCTAATATCTGTATTATAATATTATTGCGTCGATTCCGGTAGTATAGTTAGTGCAACGACTTACATAGGTACAGAGATAACACGATGAAATAAACAGATTAAATAACATAGTCGTATGGAAACTGATCAATACATACGACCAAAAAAAAAGAAAAGAAATTTCGTAACTAGTATTTATGAACATACTTTCTGATAGCGATAGGGCCCTCTCGTATAAGGTTTAAATAATCTCCTTTCAATTCACTACATCAACAGAGATTTTCAACACTCATTACGCTCGGCCTATCTTTATTTGAAAATCACAAATACCTACATTTTAAGCATTTACATGTATTTTTAATCCTTTATTGAATGAGGCCCGCAAAATGTTCAAAAATTAATTATAAATGGCCCGTGGCTGTCCATAAAGTTTAGGTTACAGTGGTTACATAGATGACATAGTATTTAGTATCTACTACAGTATTATACTATGATGATTATGATAATATTGGTATCAACTATTAAATTAACACAGCATTAAATTAAAAATGTATATATATTTATTTAAAAATTCATCGAAATAGTTCATTATTATTTCAAATTAAAATAAAACATTTTATTATTTTAAAATAAGAAATATATGTATATTGAAAACTTTACATTTATTCATGCGTAATAAATTACAAACTAATTGAAAAAGGTAGATAATCACGAAACATCCATACATTTGAATATACCTACATGTGTCAGATGAGTCAAATATAATCGGTAAAATAACAAATTTTAAAATTGCGTTTACAAAAATCGATAGAACACGTGTATATACACAGTACTCAGTAGTTAATAGATAACGTTAGTGTTACATAGTCATCCAAAATTTTACGTTCAGCGGAGATTATATTATTATATGAAAGCCCCACTAATTTTTTAATGCAGAATTTGAATACCTATTTGTTTACAGTGTTTACTAATATCGTGAAAGTGATTACTGTCATAATGTGAATACTAATATATTATACTCATTGTTTAGGATATCTTACACATTTCATTATGCTATTATAATATCTAATTAATATATAAATATATAACCGTATACAAATAGTTATTCTATTAGTCTGATATTTTTTTTTTTTTTTTTAGTAATCATTAAGTCTTATCATGGAAATGGCAACCAACACCAATAATAAAACAATAGTAAACGAAAGCAATCAAGATTGTACCACCATCTCTTTCGAAACTCACGTATGTATTAAAACAATTTATTTGTTATTTTGCATTAGATTCTAGGAAAAATAAAAAACTGTACATTGATTGTATAAGTACAATTTATGCTTGTATGTACATTATACACTAGCATACTTCGCATATGGTGTTGATTTTGTTATTCATCATGATTAGAACAATATAAAAATAATCTCTAATAATGTACATAGTCATACTTAATGTATCTTAGTAAATTCCTCAGTCAACGTCCAAATTATTATGTTTGGCATAAGACCAAATAAATATATCTTATTAATTTACCATACAGTAAACAACTTTTGTACTACCTCAATTGATGAATGTTTTACTTAGAAATGAGGAGATTAATATTCACGAAATATTATATACAAAAAATATGTTAATTCAGTTGTTTTTTTAAAGTGTATTTCATTTTTATAATTTAAATGAATGACACAATAATGTGTATTAGTAAACAAGTTAGATAGATATTAATATTAACATGATATGGTATGTTTAAATAATTATTAAATTCATTAAATGTGTATAATTACAAAACGCGCATTGAGTATAATATTATTAAAATTAAATTGATTTTGCTGTTTCCGAATGAACTAATCGATATTGATTAGCGATAAAAACGCGTTTATTATTACAAACCACAATATTATGCAGTTGGAAAAAATTTAATATATTTTTGTTGTTATACCTTTTTAAATGATATGATTTAATATTACGTTTCATTTCTGCCCACATAATACAATCAATTATTTTAAATTTTTTTCGATATTTATCATACCGATAAATAGAAAAATTGTTTTCACAAGTTATTATTTTTTTAATTTATTCAATTCATACATATTTACATATTATAGGATACTCATCCCAAAGCGTGCAAAGAAGGATTCAACATCAATACAAATTGGCATTTTCCGCGATTACTGATCAGTAACAACAAGCAATTAGCGCTAAAATGCCTGTGCCATGGAGTAGTCTTCGCTTATATGTTAGCTGCCATCAACCATTGGTATATGAGCGGTGTGTACTCAAACTTATCACATATAACCACAATATATATGATGTCCCAAAAAGAACGAATTTTTTTAAATCAGTTGCAATTATTTTTGTTTTTATGTTTTTAACATCGTTCTCATCATATTTTTAATCCACTATTATTACGGTTTATTGTTGTGTTATCAGTTTTCGTCAAGTGTCACCACAGATTGAATGTCAATTGAAACACGTGTGTTAGTTGTTAAAACTTTTTACCAATCTCACAAAAGTGGTACGGACACTGCGTGATGATTTCGTACCTTACCCAAATCGGACTATCTGTCATCGATTCGTTGGCCGATAAAAATATTCACAGAAACTGATTCAATTATTAATCCCAAAAGCCTCGGGCGTCCTCGTGAACAACGTTATGTTTAAACCATGGTAGGTGAGCAAGATAACGTCCTTCCCTAGCTCAGGCTAGGGAAAGATATAATTTTTCATAGGTTAACTGGATGTTATACTAAAACTATACATATTCTTTTTTTGTATTTGTTTTTGAAAAATAAAGTATTCTATTAGCTAATAAAAAAAAAAAAAAAAAACGTTCTTTTTGAAACCATCTCTATATGCACACCTATGATATACTATAATACAGTTTTTATCATTATCGTAATCCACGTGTTACAGGCGTAAAAGATATGGGTTGGAGAAACGGATTTGGGCTACTAATTATTATCACCGCGTGTTATTACGGTATGCAACCAGTCAAATGTTTATTCACATTAATACCATTTGTGAAGGTGTTGCCGCACGCGTACTTCAAGTAATATTATAATTTATTATTATACAAATATGTTTATGGTTTATTAGTAATATTATTATGTTAGTCATTGTCACTAACTATTCTAAAGCGTTTTCCCGTACTTTATCGAATTTCTATTAAAGGTTTATAAACAATATAGGTAAACCTAGAAATTTTTTTATGATTAACGGGTTATGTTTTTGAAATAGTTATATGAAACAATTAACTAGTTTTCGCGCTCTTTAAATATTTAATAAAAAATGTTTATTGCTATCAAAATGAAAAATTATTTTTTCGTAATGCGTAAGTGTACAGTGACCTGGCACTGGCACATCGTAAAATAACCTAATTTAAAATCAAGGTCATTGTACAAAAGTATCAAGTGCTGTTTTTGACTTTAGACACACTGAACCTATGTACAATGTACATAGTTTACAATTACTCGATTTATTATCCACGTCAAATTGGCCATGGTCGAATTTGTTGCTGTGCGGTAAACTCGGTTGTTTGAAAATAATAACTATAATGCGTATCTACATGAAAATTATGCAAAGAGACAAAATATTTTTCAATATCGTAGTGTTAACTCTACACAGACGTAATTTTGAACACCTGATTTAAGTTATCATACGTATACATAATAATGTAAATAGTATCCTTAGCATAGTGGCTAAAAAATAAAACAATATCCTCGAGATTTTTTTTATTGGATAATATATTAACATATTATTATTTTAGAGTCTAAGTGAATATATTGTGTTTATAATAATAATTTAATTATTTTTATTTATTTCTGCTTATATTGTTTTTAAACAGAATGATTGTACTAAAATTTTTAAATTTATACTATTATCTATTAATTGAAAATCTATTCTTGTTAATATTTTTAAAAGATAGTTTGTTAGAGTTCATTATCATTCTTTTCTCTAAATGTATTGCACAAAGATGAAACAGTTACTTAGTACTTACATTATAGTTGATTTTATGATACATACTATTACGATTAGAAATTGAAAAGTAAATAATTACAAATTACAGTAAATAATACTAATTAATTATTCATAATTAAAGTGAATCGCACTAGTTAACCATTCAATTACACATAAATGCATAATTAAATAAATTATTAACTATAATTTACCATTTACAATAAGTTTTACATTATTATGAGTGTGTATTTATATATTATACATCTTGCACAATACTTATAAGGTTAAGGTACCCATAAAGACTTGTTAAAAAATAAAATTAAAATATCAAATTGATATAAATATTTATTATTGCTGATGACACTTCATAAATACTTCTATTATTTTATACATTTTCTAACAACCTTTCATTTTGTTCATCATGTATAGATAGTCTCGAACAGATATACGATACAGTATATCAATATCTCTACAGTCCTGTTTATTATAGCTGACACTTCAGCAATTGTATATGTTATCCTAAATCAATGTGAACTAAGAAAAAAGGAACCTTTTCATCTAATTATATTTATATTATTTTTAAGTTTTAACTGATAATAAAAAAAAATCTTGAAAATGTAATACAAGATCACATTGAAGTTGCTCTTATATCTATATGAAAATATTAAAAATAAATAGGCATATTTTTATCTTATCCATTTAAAGTTAAAATTTTACAAAATTCGTCAAAATCACAATATACTATATAAATCTTGTAGTAAAAAATATATAAAATCTTCAAATTTTAAAATTTAAGTTTCAAAATGTAATACGATATTCTTCATAAGTAGTTCACGCTAGAATATAAAAACTTAATATTATGTAAATATAATTATTTTTATAGACATTTAAAGTTTAAATTTGGACAAAATTATATGTTTATACGATGAATATACAGTATTTTGTTATAAATTATAATAGCATTTTTAATTTTTTTTTTTTTTTTTTTATTAAAATTTTTACTATAATTATTTTCTCATATAGGATTGGAGTGCTATGTTCTTTCTCAGGGTTATTCATTATATTTATTTTATTCGACACAAAAAACGACCGGCATAGGCTATTGCCATTGATTGGACTTTGCGTATTCATTCTTGTTGGATTCATATTTTCCAAACACCGTAGCCACGTAAATTGGACTACGGTTGTGTCCGGTCTAGCCACACAGATAACTATAGGTATGTTAACTATCAGATGGCAGGTCGGCCGATCTATAGTCCAGGCAATCGGAGAATTGGCCGAAAAGTTTTTCTCCTTTGCGTATGTCGGAGCTAAGGTGACTTATGGAAATGAATTAATTGACAATTATGGTGTGTTCGCATTTAAGGTTAGTATTGTTAATCTAAAAATATTTTATTGAAATTAATTAATTTTTGACCGTGTTAATGTTTAATGTTTATATTATAATATTATAATTTATCAATCATATTAAAAACCTCGAAAAATAATAATTATACATTAATCCATTTAATATTCTTGTTTATTTATGATCGACAGCCATTTAAGTCATAACTTTATCGCATCTTGTTATTTTCCTATTTTATATGTTATTTCTATGATATATTTTACAATATTTTTAGTCGATTTTGATTTTGCATAATATTTTAACTACAGCAACATGAATATAAAATTATTAAAATATTTTAATATTAATCATTTGAAACATTTTTTAGTCTTGTCAAAAACAGGAGCTATAAAATGTGGCCTCATTTTATTGATATTTATAATCAGTTATTATTGGTTATTAAACAGTTTATAACAGTTATACGTTTTTCATAGTATTTCAAAATCACAGATCTTCAATTTTAATCTTAAAAATCATATTATATATTCGAAGTTCGAACCATTGAATTAATCATAAAAAATCATTGGTGTTTAAAAAAATATAGTTTTAATAATTCATTTATTTCGTTTTTAAAATGCTTCAATTTTCGTCTTATAATGTATTTTTTGTCCTTCAGGCCTAGGAAATTATTTTACTTAGAATTTAATTTATAGTTGTAACATACATGAAGTTACAAATTTGATAGATCATTCTTAATTCTTTGAAAAAAATATCTAATAATATGATAAACTTTTTGACCTTTTTAACAAACTGTGAATCAAATTTTGTTGATAAGTAAATACCACTGTGAACTTTCATTTGTGGAAGAGGATAATATAGATAAAAAAGATAAAGGAGATTAAGAGATTATATCTAACGTGTAAAATTTGATCATGCGATTGACCTTCTTAAGAATAACAAAACGTATAATATTGATAAGATCCTAATAGAGTTATTAAGATATACCTAAAAATTGATATTAAGAATGAATTTTATTAAATATGTAGGTAATGAAATATTTATAAAGTGAAAAACTGTTAATGCTTTCGAGAAGGTATTGTGGTACTGATTACAAAAAAGAAAAGAACTCAGAAGTGTGATGAATACAGAACACTAAATCTTGTTACACATACATCCAAAATAATTTAAAACGGTAGAGAAAAATCACGGCAAAAATTAACTTTGATTTATAGGGAATATAGGAACCGGAGAGGCAATTGTAACGCTATGACGTTCTTTGTTCAAACTAAACCTCAACTCGTCTTACTACCGATATTTAACGAAATCTCATAAAAACCAAGTAATATTAAAACTACCAAACTTATCTTAAAAAACTTAATCTATTTTATTACACTCAACAAAGATTTAACTTATAAAATGGGCCATAGAGTTTCACGTGCAAAGTTAATAAATCTGATTTTATTGTACTATATACCAATTAAATCTTATCTAGTAGACGTCATTTATGAATATCATTCAGATTTTACCCGTTCTTCACAACATTTTCGTGTTTTACTACGCATTTACGCCACCTCTACTTCTCTACTCATACCGTAAATATCATAAATTGCCTAAGCGACCTTGGGCATAAATTATTAGTATTACAAATATACCCCATCATAAGAACAAATTTTCACATCAATAATTGAGAAATATTCAAAATTACTAAAATATTTAACACAATTATAAAATTCGAAAACCCTTAGAGAAAACTTGGTCCTCCTCAATGCTACTATTGTCAGAAATTTAGGTTTAGACATACATAAAACTATTGTTGCCATTATCCACATTGCATAAAATAGGAATCAGAACACGGCACTGACAAATGCTCTAAAAAATGGTATGAACCCGAAAAGTATGTAAACCACAGTAGAAATTATTCAGCCAATTATAGAGAATGCAAAACCTCCAAAGACAAATAAAGTCACATTAAGTCAATAGACCGAAAAACAATTTAAAAAATCGTTCCATTCCCACATCTGCCTTGCCGCCTGCACCTTAAAAAAGCAAGAACTATGTTCTTAGTTCAAATCCAAAATATAAACTGTCATACTCCGAAATTACAGGTAATCACCAAAATTCTCGACGAATAAAACCCCTTTCTAATTGCCCTAACTTCCTTATTAAATAAAATCCCACTCTCCAACTTCTCGTCATTTCCACTACATAAAACAATTATTTTTTCCGTACACCTGTGACATATTTATTTTATAATTGTAACCTAAGTTTGTCGTAACATTAATATATTGATATATTTTAATTATTATATATAAAAAAAAAAAAAACTATGAACTGTGAAATTTTAAATTTATTACAGGTGCTTTCAGTGTTATTCTTTATGTGTTTTGTTATTGAAATATTATTTTACTATGGAATCATACAAACAATAGTTATAAAATTGGGGTGGTGCTTGCAAAAGTTACTAGGAACGACAGCAGCCGAATCAGTCAATACCTGTGCTAGCGTGTTTTTAGGGATGGTAAGTGAATTAATTCAATATGAGAAACTTTAAATTATAACGATAGATATAAATTATTTTTATATGAAAGTTAACGTTTTAAAATTTAAAGTATTATTTACAAATTCAAAGAAAGTAACTGAAATCAATAAATTGTTTTTGTAAAATTTTTGTTAATAAAATTAAAATTAATCATAAATCGTATATAATATAGTAGCATAGTGTAGTATAATATAATTAAGTAGTTATCTATTTAAAAATTTGATAAAAATATTCACATAATATAATCAAATTATAAAATACTAAATGAAATATATATTGTTTAAAAAAAAATATGATTAGTATAAAATATATTTTCGAATCATTGCATTTAGTAAACAAATAGTTTCAATAAAATCCCTTTTTTATTTAACTAAATTTGGTTATAAATAACCTTTGATAAATATATTATTATATTTAAATGGATGGTATGATAGAAATAATTTTTAAAAAAAATGGTGGGGAGGGGTCTTAAAATAATCAATTGTACCACTTTTTATATACTATATAGGTCTAAAATTTATTTATTTTATGTAGATTTGATTAAACCGCTTCGTAGAAAAAATATTTATTTTTTATTTAATTTAAAGTGAATGAAAATAAAATACATCTATCAAATTAAATTTAAATTTGTCTTGATAATTCCAATTTATTATACACTGTTTGGATATAAATAGTAATGAATAAATGAACATTGTTGTATCGTATTGAATTTGTAAATAATATGTTAAATGTTAAAAGAATTATAATTATAAATTAAAACAATATTAATGAATTAATAACTACTAAATGAAATCAATTATAGTATGTTGTTTAAAATTAGAATTTAGAACTATTATTTTATTTACTTAAGAAAAAACTTATTGACATAAGTACATCACACATTTTTACAACAATATAAATTATAATATACCTATATAATTACACGTAGGTATTAGTATGACGTCCTTAATGATCACTTCATAAATTCTAAGATTATTTTATTTTATAAGAAAATAGATCACGTGCATTAAATTTCTTTTAATGTTTGTTTATTTAACTATTAAATTGTTATATCCATAAAAATAGTTTTATAAATAATGTAAATATCACATTTCAGTTCTCATTTGTCAATTATTATACAGTGTTTTTAAAATGTAGATGGAAAAAATCCGTAAATTTTCTATCATAGAAAAACTACAATATTTGAGTAATATGAATTAAATTATATTTAGGAAAATTATGAATTTATATGGACGCTAAAAAATATTGAGGACAATTTCTTTCTATAAATAACTTATAATATTTTTTCATTAAATTAATTTTCAAGGCAATCTATAAACTTATAAATAATACTAGAATAAAAAAATTATTTTGTGTCAAATAAATCAATAACACATTGTAATAAGCATGAACAATAAAACTTTAATATTTTAAACACAAAAACAAAATCAGCGTTATTTTTTACAAATGCTATGTTAATATTGTAACGAAATATTTTAACTACCTTTTAGTGTAATAATTTTAATAAAACAAACTATTTTTTTCTTCTATTATAGTCAGAGGCGCCTATTATCATTAAACCATATTTACCTGATTTAACAGAATCAGAAATCCATGCTGTTATGATGGGAGGATTTTCAACAGTAGCTGGTACGATTAATTTTATCATAAATATTAATGAATAACAAATTTTATCAATCTACAAAAAAAAAAAGTAAAAAAAAAAAACATAAATAGTATTATTGTTTTATGATTTTTACTTTTATTAGATATTCAAGTTTCAACTTTTTATCAAATAGTGTGTTTGCTAATATAACATTTATTAAATATGTTTTAATTAGGAACTGTATTTGCGGCATACACATCATTCGGTATTGATTCAGCCTATCTGATTACTGCATCAGTCATGTCAGCTCCAACTGCGCTGAGTTTCTCTAAACTAATTTTTCCAGAAACTGAAAAATCATTAAACAGTGTGGATCAAATATGTACTAAAAAGTAAGTGCACATTTTACGTGTAGTGATGAGGGTGGATGGAATATTTAATTGGAGAGTAGCATTACTAAAATCTAACCAGAAGTCAGGAAACGAATTTTCTGAAAGCATTTTAATATTTAATATTAAATAATAAAATATAATCGATGGTTGCTGATATATATTATGTAGATGCACGATCTTTTTGTAGACCACAGTTCAATCCCAGTCGAATAAAAATAAAAATTTAATTTTAAGTTTTCTCCACTAAAATTCTATGAGTTTACGTGATATTGTAAGATACAATCATTATTTATTATAGTAAATTTTACCAATACATAATATTATAAACTTAGATAATTTGCGATATAATAATGGAAATTGCATTTAACGCCGAAAAAACCATTTTTGTAGAGTATAATATTATGAATATTATATAGGTATTCGCTTCAGCATAGAATCTAAAACAAGTATTTCTTATTAAAAATCTACAATAGTAATCAAAATAACTCATATTACGATGGATTCATTACAGATTTTCTTTTTTTCGTTTTCTCCGCTGAAACACTTGAACTTATTATTCTAATATTCGTATTATAGACTAATATACTATGCTAATATTCTTTTTCAAACATTTTTCAGTGCGTACCTATTCAAAACAGTAAAAACTTCTATAATTATTAACGCTGTTGTTACTTTTCTTCCACATATATCTCTGCTTAAAATATTTGTTTTGTTTTTTTCAATAGACCTTATTCGATATTTCAATTTACTGTGTATATATTATTTTCTGAAATAATATACTTTTATATTATTTTAAAATTACAGTATATATATTCAATATGGTTATGGTCTACAAAGCTTTTATCTTTGTATATAATTATAAATACAAAATATCATATATGTTCTTATAAATCATATATATTCGTAACTATTATAAATATTCAAGCAATGCTATGAAAATCAACCAATTAATAATAAATCCACGCATATTATATCAATAGCATTATTGGCATGTTAATGTGGTACAATATTTTACAGAACTAACGACGAGGGTAACGTAATGGACGCGGCTTGTAAAGGAGCCCAGTTTGGATTGAAAATAATTGGAGCGATTGTCGCCAATATAGTGGCATTCGTGTCGTTTGTGGCGTTCCTCAATGCAATTATTTCATGGTTGGGAGATTTGGTCGGAATCGAAGGTCTATCATTCGAGGTTCAAAAAAAAAAAAAATTATCATATAATTGTATACATTTTTGATTTGTATTCATCTCCCGATTGATTGTCTAGTATGTATTGGGCAAGATATTGATACCCGTCACGTGGCTGTTAGGCGTCGATCCTAGCGAATGTGAAACTGTCGGCAAATTGATCGGCCTGAAAATGACAATTAATGAATTTGTGGCGTATAAACAAATGGGCGATCTAATTAAAGAAGGCAAACTTAGCGTAAGTGTAGTATTGTCGTACATAGTATTTAAGTATTTTACAGACATCATATTCATACTCCAGTATTCCAACCACATTGTGACTTGTGAGTAGTGGAGGTCATTTGCATCTAATTTTTCTAAAACGCATTTTTAGGTCAGTCAAAAATAAAACGAAAGAGACAATATGACCTATTTTAAAACTGATAGTAAGGTATACATTATACAGTACCCTAGGTGCATTGTTGCTGTGATTAGACTGTTGATCAACACCGTGGGAAAATTGATAGCAGTTATAAAATACAATTAAAACCTGATTTGTATAAATTATAGCCACTTGTCATAAACTAATAGTTCTAATAGTTCTAATAATTTATATCTAACAAAATGTCATAATCAATTTTTCATTCAGTCTAAAAATAGCATTCTGAGTCGTTTACATTTCAAATCTCTTCATCTATTTATATCTACTACGGCCTACGGGTATTATATCTATAACTATTTCGAGTAAATTTTTGCCTAGTAATGATTTTATAATGGTCATAACTCATAAAAATTTTGGCAACTAAATTTCGACTCCGGGTGTAGGAGACTGGTAAATTTGATTGGTTTTAAGCTTTTAGCCATGTAACATAATATAACACATATTTTAAACTACATTTGTTGCGAAATCTATGTGAAGAAATTAAATTTTGAATTTCAAAACTTCATGTTCGTCATTAGATGAGATGTCAAAAAATAATGAGCATTAAAAAAATTAATAATATACATTTTTTTTCTCTTACGGCCCACAGTTACTTGTTGATTTTTTGTTAAAAACCTAATAATTCCATTTTTTTTAGAGCGTAGGGGTTTGTAAATTTATTTGAACAAACTAAAATGTTTACTGGAATGGTCGCTCTACCTTTCAGTGTATTGTATAATTTAATTTTCGAAAAATTTACAACAAAAGGCCTTAAAACCCCGTTTTTTTATGAAAACCACATTTTTTGCAAAATCTATGAGAAGGAATAAATTTTGAAATTCGAAACTTCATATTCGCCATTAGATAAGGGGCGTATTTTCAGGTTTTTTTTAGTGTGCGAGGTTTCAAGCAGGTTATTTTTATAATTCACCAAGACATTTAAGAATAGATATACGAATACGTTTATATAATCCTGCTTTCAATTATTTCCATATATCGCAGGTACCGAATAATTGCATCAATATAAATATAAAAAGTTAATTTAAAAACTAAAATATAATAAATAATTAACAATTATAATTGACAATATACTATTATTGATAAATGTTAAAATTAAAATTCTATTTAAGGAATTTTAATATTGAACACAATCTCAGCAGGGCGCAGGCCAATTAGCACTATTTTTAAAGTAAAGGGTGCAATCGTATACCCTGATCCGCCTTAAAAAGACGCCCCTGCCATACTTGCTTTTCTTTAATTTTTAATTCAATTTTTCAATTGACCAATGTAACTCCGTTTGATGATATTATATTACTGTCGTTAATAGTAATATATTAGATGTATACACAAAATATAATAGTATTGTAATGTGTTTCAAGAGTCCTGTACTAGACACTAGTGCCGCTCTATGACTTATGAGTATATATATGTGTAAATGCAATTTAATATTTAAAATTTCTATCATATTATTTTATCAAGTTTGGGGCTGTATTATTTATTGATTAAATAAACAATTTTGACCCATAGAATTTATTTCTTCGTATAGTCGAAGATTAATAGTTACCTAGTTACTGCAACAAAGAGTTAATATTAAAAAAAAATGTTTACATGCATATATAGCCTGATATTTACATTTTTGATTAAGTCACCCTTACTACTCACTCACTCACTCACTTGCCTATTTGACTCGATCTTCAAAATTACTAACGGTAAAATCAACAATCAAATACTTTTTATTACGTTTTAACAAGAAAATACAATCTTTCGATTTTACAATACAATTTTTTGGAATAGTGATTTTTTTTTTACAATAGCTACCTGATTGGATTTGTACTGAATTGTTAAATTACGAACATAAGTAGCTTTGACGATTTTAGTCAACAGATTTGGTCATGATAATGATAGTACTACCTTTTTTAACGTCGAATAAAAACATGTAATGTTGCCAATCATATTTGTCGCTAGATAGCGCTGATATATTCGATGTTTATTTATTTGATTTTTAACCATCTGATGTAGTCACAAAAACATCGTAAATCCTCTTTTTCCTATATACCTGTACTTTGATTTTTATAATGAGTATGACTGACATACTCCGTATATTTTATTTTTTTTTTTTTAGTAGCTCCCTCTTTTTGACTACGCCACTGCCAATGCATCTTAATTGTATGAAAAAAAAATCATAAATTTAAACGTCCAAATTGCATGTTATCTCTTAGGTATGTCTGAATTGCATGCTATCTATAATTTTACTTATTAAAACTAAAGATTTTTTTTTATTTTATAATTTTTCAAATAACAAATTATAAATTAATCGACATTTTTGAAAACATTTATTTTTATTTATTTAAAATGTGAAATTTGTCATAAATTCATATACTCTTCAATTACTGTTTTATATTACTAAATTAAAAATAAACTAAGAAGAAATTTCCATTCCCACTTTATAAGACATAAGACTAGATGTATACAACAGAGTCTTACATACAAATATGAAATGTTGATTAAATAAAATATTATATTATATTATATTATACATACCTACCAAAATTATAATATGAAAATGTATTTTTTAAAACAATTAGGTAATGTAAAGTGAAAAGAAAAATGTTGGTTTTAGAAAAATTAAAAAGTTCAAAATAATATTAAAGTTGTTCACTTAAATGCATGATGAATAAAATTGTACACGGAATATAAAATCTCTATAAAATGTGGCATGCAATTCGAGCAGACTCTTGTAAGAGGTGGTGTGCATTTCAAATATGGACGTCTCTGCATTTATCGATTTGTTTTCACGCTTATTTGATTTTCAGCCCAAATCGAAAATTGTTGCCACTTTTGCTTTATGTAGTTTCGCCAATCCAGGATCGATTGGGTCAATGATTGCCACATTGACAACATTGTGCCCATCACAGCGATCGTCGATAACTAAAAATGTATTTAGAGCATTCCTCGGCGGTACGGTAACCTGTTTTTTAACGGCTGCTATTGCTAGTAAGTAAAATAATTTTATACTTGATATATACTACCTATATACGTCCAGTAGTACTCCATAAGGGCAAAACGAATAAAATATAATTATTTCCGTTAAACCCTTCGCTCTTCAACACTTCACCACGCTGTTTAAAATAATTTACCCCAACATCACCCATCGTATACATAAGACATTTATGTAAAAAAATCGTAACAAGACTTTCAAATAAAAGTATATTGGTAGTGACGTGAGACTATTTTTTCCGTTACGACATAGTGTTTGGGTCGACAATTCATAATAATTAACTAATCAAAATGCCAATTTTGTATTTTGCAGGTTTATTAATGCCTGATGAAGGATTACAAAACTAAAAACAATAATTTATGATTGTAATTTTTGTATGTACATTTTTTTTTAAATTTATACGGTATATTATTGTGGTTTATTATTTCTACATAATAATAAGCAATAAGCATAGGTATCTGTATTTCCTTATTGGTAGGTAATATATTTTATTACAGTTATGAAAATCGTATCAACGAAATTCTCATTCTGTTTTGATATGCATGACTATTTTATATTGTTAAATTTATTAGATTATAATTAATTGATAATATTTTGTAAATATATAGACACAATGTGAATAACAAATACAAATTTATATTTTTTAATTAAAAATCAAAATCTATAGTAAAAGATAAAAAAATATTATAACATGAAAACAATGTGCTATATTATACATTATATTTTAAAAAAATGTTCAATTATCTAATATGTAAAAAGCTAAGGTAACTAGTGTAAATATGTAAAAAAAAATAATATATACATTATTGTATCACAGTTACAGAGTGGATATCCTATATGAATACCAATTAAAGGGCTCGTTTCGCCCAAGATCAACTTCCTTTTTTCCATCAAAATTAATTGCATTCTTTCACCTGCACTCCGCAGACCACAGTTTCATTATTTTAGAAAGCACTATCTCAAAATGATTTATGTTTGAAATCATGTTTTAACTAATAACATAATGATACTAATTTTATTGGAGTAATAGTGTGTATATACTTTAAACGCATGAATTGTGACAATACATATCTGTTACCAGAATTTTTATCAACAAATTGATATAATTTAAGTAGTGTTATCGATGTAACTAACAAGTAATGTAATCAAGTTGTAGGTATTTATAATTTTAGACTTTTAGTATGTTGTTCACTTTCGTACCAAATAGTTCGCTTGCGTTTTTTCTTTGGATTTTTTTTTTAAGTGATTAAGATTATAGTGACTACGTTTTAAAAAGTAAATGGGACGGATGTTTTGATTTTTTATGATAATATTAAGTACAATTTTTGATCAACTAATAAAAAAGACAACTCTACCCGTTGGAGATTTGTATCAAGAACGTGTGATGAAAAATTATTCACAGATAAAAATAATTCAATTACTTCAGCAGTCGGAGAATATAATCAAAATTAATATGATAAATCTATTATTAATTACCAAATAGTAAATACAGTATATAAACGAAAATCTTTAGAAGATTCAAGATACAAGACAAAAAAAAAGAAGATAATATTGGTATCGTCATATTTAAACATAGTTGATATAAAAAGGTTAAGAAACAATATGTATAAATCTCGTGCAAAAGTTCTTCCTCCTAATCCTTCTAATATAAATGAAGTTCATCAGTATATATTGACGTAACTAAAATAACAACTGTAAAAATTGAACTTTTTGTATTAGATAATGATGAGACTAAAGATGTAATAATATTTTCCAGTGAAAAAAAATGACATTTATTGAGCCGTGTTAAAAACGTTTGGTTGACTATTTTTAAATCCTGAAGAGGTAGGTAATTGTTATGTTAAAGATTTAATGACTGACTATCCTGAAAATGAAACACCACAAAACTTCTATGACTATTTAACTGATAATTAAATATCCAATGAAAATTTATTCTCGCCAAAGCTTTGGGCAGCTTAATCATCATAGTTAATCAGGATAACGAATGTATGCGAGTTATTTCACTCATTCTTTAAAAAAGTCTCTATTGTAATTCTCCACCAATCCATACGTGATTTACTGTAATACAAGAAGTATAAACTTATGTTTATATTAAATTAAATAGTATCCACTTATAACACATTAATAATGATAGAAAAGTAAAATAACGCAAATTAAAAAACAAAGATGCGTACAATCTAACAGTGCAATAGAGGAGATTTAAATTGATTTAAATTCGTTAAATTAATGGGATTAAACTATATAACAAAATTAAATATAAATTAAACCCACGATATGACATCATATATATGTATATCAGACAAGATCGTCATAGCCCATACGTATAAATACACTATGACTCCAATATTAATATCATTATGTTATTAGTTACGACATGATATCAAACATAAATAATTTTGAGACATTGCTTTTCAAAATGTTAAACATGAAACTATGGGTAAAAATAGGAAACTATTTTATCATTTTTGGTCAAAAAGAATGTAAATTGTAAAATTGTACTGGTATTATGAAGTCATTTTCAGGTATCTGTGTGATTATTCACTTATATAATTTTATTTAAATTCTGATTTTTTTTTTTATTTTAGGGCCCTACTTTCAATTATTTATATTTTTATTTCATGTAAAAAGTATCCTGTGATAGCACGTGCTCCAAACATATTTTTTCAAATGAGAACCAACCAATCTTTTCTATAATTGTTATAATTATTTATTATTGTTAAGCTGATTACGTTATTTTAATTTTATATAATAAGTGTTATAGGTCTATAATATATATTCTATAATAATGAACCTGGATTTGGAAGGTGTGAGGATATGGTGATTCGAAGATAATATTAATCAATAATAAATAATAATATCTATCTAGGTATTTATCTATAAATATTTTATGATTAAAATTAATGATCGAGTAATACCTACTAATTCTAATTATATTACTTCTACCTAATTTATAATTTTCATACTGTTTTTAAGGACAACTAACTTTATTTATACACATTATTTTTTAATAACTCAAAAATTACCGATTTATTCGAATTTTTATTGAGATATATTACAATTTTCAAAATAAATCATCTACTTAATAGTAAAAATAAATCTTTACTAACGGAAAATTAATTCCAATTAATAATACAATGAATACAGTTTTTAAAATTGAAAATTACATTCATTTATAGTGTCTAATTATAATTTTATAATAAACATAAATAATTTATAGCACATCAGTGTGTTATTTATAAATATTATAATAAAAAAAAAGCATAAGCAAATAAAAATTAATATTTTTGAATAATGAATGTAAATTAATTAAAATTGCAATAAAAGCTAAGTAAACGTTAAAATGAAAAAATTTAACAGTTTTTAGTATTAGATAGACTCCAGAGTCATTAAAGTATTAAAGTATGGAGAATTGTTTAAGTAATTATTTTTGTTGTATTGGTTTTTACTTTAAAAAATGAAGACTTTTGACTTGATCGTATTGTATATTTTGTTTTAATAATCTTTAAATGTGAAATTTTAAAATAACACCTTTAAAAACTATGTTCTATTTTAAATAACTAATAGTTTATTAAGTTAAGAATCAAGAAGTTCTCATTTAAATAATAAAAAATTTGTTAGATGACCAAACATTATACTTGATAAGTATTATAATATTATTACAAAATCAAAAAAATCTTTTATTACTTTGATCTTGATTTCATATACAATATTAAACAAATAAAGACAAATTTCACTCAAACATATGACTTATTGAATTTATTTGTGGCAAAAGTACCTGCTACCTTAAATAGAATTTTTATGTAGATTTTATGTTTTGCTCAAGCATAATAGTTTTAAAAAGGATTAAATGCTAATACATAATGTGTATTATGGGTCATTGTTCATTGGTGTACATTTTTATGTTTATCAATGTTATATGTATCTATATAAACATTTGATATAGTTAATAATTATAGTAACTATTATTGTTGTTTTAAATTCTAACTAATAATCTTATATTAACACACAAATAATATATTAGTGGTTTTTTTTATTAAATAAATTTGATATAATTATACATAATACAAGTAGATTATATAAAAATCATAATATTTAGAGTGATATTGCTTGTAAGTTTATTACAATAATCATATTATACTACAGTCGACTCTCGATAATTTGAAGTTGAAGGGAAATTTCTAATTGTTGAGTAGTTCAAAATATCGAGAGCGCAGAAACAAAATTCGAATTACTGAGAGTAAGAAAAAAGATGTGTGTTTTTTTTTTTATTATTGTACATAGGTAATTGTTAATTATTTCAGCAAATCAGGTAGTACATATTAGAGTTAATTATTGTTTTAAAATTGTAAATTAAACTATATAATATATATACAATGTAAATTAAATTATTATTATAAAAGATAATTATTTTTTGAAAAAATCTATGATGGTTTTCTGCTTCATCGAATTTAGTTTCATTTTTTCAATAGTATTTTCTATAGTAAATAAAGCATCAAAAACCTCAACAGTGACTTCTGACTGGAATTATGAAAGGTTTCGAATTATTGAAGGTTTGAATTATCGAGAGTCGACTGTAATTATTGTCAGCTACAGTCTATGATACATATTCATCGAATATAATATTTAGTTTCACATAAATTAAAGTATAGTTATAAATAATAATAGTCATATTTTTATCTCAAAAAAATCATTCATATATTAAGAAATTTAGATCTATTGTCTCCAAAGTGAAAATGAAGTGTTCAAAATTTTATGAAACACCAGCATTTCTTAACGTTAAAATAAACTGCTGATATTTTAGTATTTTAATTAATTCTTAAGCAATATGTTTATTTATATTCTATTTAACACACAAGTGTTCACAAAATTAGGTTATTTATTTTAAATTATTGGTAAAAATTAACGAATTGTGAAATTTTGGCATTAATTTTTTTAAATATTTCTAAATGAGATTATTAATAATTGTTTCTTTCATCTTACAAAAAATTAAAAAAAAAAAAAATTGGTGAATTGCACCTTATATAAAACTATAATAACAATGCATATTTTTCTATTTCAGTTGAAAGAATAATTGCAATTTTATTTGTTTACGTAACAATATTGATATAACAATCGACGTGTTGGAAGCAATATTTATTAGAATAATTTAAACCCTAGCTTGAATGGTTTGAAGATAACTATGTCGGATAATTGAATTGAAATGAACATGAATAAAAACCTGCAAGATTTCTATCATCAATTTGAAATTTATATGCGCAAATTCTAAATAATATATATAGGACGAATAGTCATAAAGATCCAACCAAAGATTAAATGTAATTGATCTATCCTACATTATTGTCATTCATAACGTTCTTAAAAAAATTTAAGCTGGAAGGAATATATATTATTGTTTCAATTAGAAACAACTTAAAAAGTTAAAATATAATAAATATTATATATATTGAAGCAAATAAAAAATTACTAAAATTAATTCAAGAATCAGATATATGAAACATTTGAGATCCCAAGATTAATAATAATATTAAAGGTTGTTTAGGGTGGCTCACACATCCACATAAACTTCGATTTGGCTCAATAAAATCAAAGATTTTGTTTTGTTTATATAATACAAGGTTGTCATAAGCAATAATTACAGAAATATAATTTAAAAATAAAAATAAAAATTAGTATAGACCATCAGAATATTAATAAAAAAATTAATTTGTTTGTTATTCAAATTTACATTTAAAGGCAATGTAGGTACTTGAGTCTGTAATTTATAGACTAAAAAACGATATTGTTCAGTGATTATTTATGAAATATCTATCAAAAAGGTTAAAGAATTGTTTGAACTAAATGTCCACATTTCGATCAAATTAGTTTATAAAGTTTGTTCATTTTTTCTAATAGTAAGTAAAATTATACAATGAAAATAAATAATTATTTAAGTAGTACAAATATTTTTTTTTTAAATTATTTTATTCAAAATAATCCTCAATAACAATAGTCGTTGGAATGATTTACATAATATTATATAAACTTATTTTTATACAATAAATAGATTACATAAAAATCGATAAATGGTTAAAGATTGCGACAGTAATGAGTATATAAAAGGTTAAGAGTTATTTTGTTACGTAGATTGGCAGCAACAATGAATTTGATAGAGGCGGAGGAAGAAAGATATTAGACTTTATTTACTAACGTGTAGTTGAAAAGTATTACGATGTAAGATAATATAAAAACACTTAGGTGGCCTCAAAATTAATTATGTGCAATGAACAATATTAACATACGTGTTTTAAATCAGTGTAAATTGAGTGATAATCGCATTAGTTTATTCAATTCAAAACTATAGTTAATATTTGGTGAGTTTTTTTAGAAAATATTATTTTCTTATGAGTATTCTATATTTTTAATATGTAAAATTAGTAGAAATTCTTAAAAATCATAGATTTAAAGGAAATATTAAAATTAATTGTAATACATTTCAATGAAATAAAAGGTATACAATATACATTTATAAATATAATTTAACATTATAGATTGAATCAATATTGTGTTATGAATATTATAAAAATGTATTTTAAATTATTGAATTTAGTCAAAAAAGTACATCAATATGTATTGCATCTCATGTATAATATTTAAAATAAATTTAAAAAAAAAATAGAAAAATAATCTGGATACACTTGTAGAAAACAGCAAATCCAGATTTATGATTACCAAACTTAAAGTACCTACAAATAATAAACTTATTGTTTTAACAATTAATTCAATTTTACATATTATACATTATTTAAATAAATATTTTCTGCTAAGAAATAAGAAATTCAAATAACTCTGTAGTTCCTTAAAACTTTATTTTTTCATAAGCTTTTTTTAGAAAACTAAATTATACCATTCAACGATATGGATGAAAATAAAAATTATCAATATGACATAAAATCAACTTTAGCTCAAGTAAGTATCTTATAGTAAATTAATTAATTCAAATCATGCACTGATTTAAAATGAATTATAGTCATACATCAATATATTATGTGATGATTTAAGAGCAATAATTTATACAACGAACCAATAACATTAAACATTTGTAAATAGTGTTGGGCAATATCAGGAGTATGGTTCCTGCAACTCGAACTCGGTGTACTAGTCATGATATCAACTATTGTCATTGGCGCCTTAGAAAATAATAAATCCAAAGACGTTAAAGACATATTGACTATGACAAGCGAAGAAGCATCTTGGTTTGGTGAGTATATAAAAATCAACACTCTATTAAACAACAAAATTCTGTTCCTGAACCAACATTGTTTTAAATAAAATACATTATGGTAAATTTAGAAAATAGTTATATAAATACATTCAAAACATTTAAAATACACGAAACTTCATTATAACAAATACGATATATCTACTAATCTACTAAATATCAATAAAAAAAATACTTAAAAATAAATTATTTTTTTTACAAATGTTTATATGATTTATTTTTTTTAAACTTAATTTCTATTCAATTTAAAAAATACTTAATCAACAAGTAAAATATTAAATCACCAAAAAGATAAACCATGATACATTTTAGTTCCCATGAGCTTCTTGAATAAGCTGGTTAGTAATAACTAATAAACAGTATTTCAAATATATTTTTGATATATTTATAAAATTGTATAAAATAAATACTTAAAAATATGTTTAAAAAACTTTTATTTGAATATTTAATTATTTGTTTAAAAACACATTTAATTTTTTATAAACGGGCTACTTAATTATTTAAATTGTTATGTCATGAAACAAATTTTATTAACATTTTAGCTAGTCTGCTATATTTGTTCACACCTCTGGGAAATGTTATATCCTCGCTTTTACTGGATCGTATTGGTCACAAAAAATGTATGATACTGACAAACATACCATGCTTAATGGCTCATATTATGACATATTTTGCTGAAAACGTCACAATGCTGTACGCCAGCTCAATATTAATGGCATTAGGCATGGGATTTTCGAACGCCCCGAGTCTTGGATACGCCGGGGAAGTATGCGAACCAAAACTAAGAGGTGCATTGACATCGGCACTGAATATATTTTATTATGCTGGATCCATAATATTAACCATATTGTATAGCTTTAACATGCAATGGCGATTGACGGTGCTAATGACCACCGTGTTTCCAATTTTGAACATTATTGTATTATTAACGGTAATCAGGTATGCGATTAGCATTCTTAACCACTTATTATTAAACAGCCAAAAATCAAATGTTTTAGACACCAGATTCTCCGATGTGGTTATTGACTAAAGGAAAGCATTCAAAAGCACATCGAAACCTCAGCAAATTGAGAGGAAAAGTTTCGTATGATAAATGTGAAAACGAATTCCAAGAAATGGTTAGATACAATATGCCCACTAATGATGACGAACCGCGTAATATTATTATTTGTTATTATATAGATTATTTTTTTCTAAAACAGCATATTTAACAAGCCGCTACATTTTTTTAATAGATCACAAAGAAAATACAAATATTTGGAAACAAATTGTCGAGCCTGAAGTACTAAGACCTTTTCGTCTAATGATGATATACTTCTTCTACATGAATTTAATATCTGGATTACCATTTATGCCATATTTAGTACCAATACTTAATAAATTTGCTACACCTGTTAACGCCGAATGGACAATAGTAAGTTATTTACAAACTACTTAGTTTATGGTATTTGAGTTTATTTTATATTGATTTTACTCGAAAACATTATTAAAATAAATTTATTTATTTTTAAATAATTTTAATTGTATTTTCAGTCATTTGCAATGTTCCTTTCCATAATAGGAAGTTTAGCGGCAGTTTTTCTAATACGTATCCTAGGCAAACGATTTCTTACATTATTTACGTTATCGGTTTGCTCCATTTTCTATATTCTTATCGGATTAATTGGTGTTTATTGGACAAATGCAGAACCTATAACCTCTTGGATAGTACTTTTACTTTTTCTTTCTACAATTTTAATTTCATCAATTGGAATAACGCCTATTTCGTGGACCTTAGTCACCGAAATATTTCCTGCAAAGTGAGTTAAATTGATATCAAAAAAATAAATAAATAATACTTGCTGTTTTCTTCTGTAAGGAAAACATTGAATCATGTAATACAGTTTTTTTTTTTAAAATTATTATATTTTAATATTTTCATAGAATACACTTAAGCAAAAAAAAAAAAAAATTTAAAAAAAAGATTGAGGATATTTTATAAACTTTTATCGCGTACACTTTATTAAATTTTTTTAATACTTTGATTGAAAAATAATTTTAACTTTCTAAATAGTATTTAAAACTTTTTATTGTTATTTTAAATGAGTAAAAAATATATTTTAATTCTCATAATGTAAATTTTTAGATAAAATTAAGAATTTTCATTGAAATATTGTACACTTAAATCAAACTTATTTAAATTTGTTGAAATAAATCACCAAATGCTCTTATTCCTATTTTTCTATTACAAATAATTTTTTTGAATTTTCAGTTTTTTAAATAATTAATCATAATTTAGTTACATTTAAGATGTGTCTTTAATTTTTAACTGATTTAAAATAATACATTAAATCAATTTTTATCTTAAAATTTAAATATTAATTTTTTTTATTTATCAAACGTGAATTAATTTATTTTTATTTTTATTTTAGAAGTAGAAACAATTTATGCAGTATTTGTACGGGTCTCTGCTTTGTTATTACTTTTGTAATAACAAAATATTATCCAGAATTTTCAACACTAGTGGATTTTTATAATGTATTTACTATAATTGGTATTATTGGTTTATTTGGTTGTATATATTTTTATTTTTGTCTACCAGAAACCGAAAATAAAACTTTACAAGAAATTACAGAATTCTTCAAATAAAATCACTCAATCAAAATATTTTTTTTTTAATTAATAAACCTAATAAGGTTTGTTTAGCGAGGTAATAGAAAACTATAACTATTTTTCTATTAGTAAATGTTCATATGTTGAATTATCAGGATTGAACTAATGGAAGTACTTATAAAAGCTAAAACAATTCCTCAAATTATAGTATAAAAAGACTTTTCTAATTTTCATTAGTTTTTTTAACCATAATATAAATATAAAAACAATGTTATAACAAATAATATAATACAACGATGGATTACAGACGAAAAAACATATACTACCTATACTATAGTATTCGGTGTACAAAGATTTAAATAAAGATTTAGGTTTTTTTTTTAGAGATTTTTCGGCTAAAACTTTAGTCCACTAATGTTCATTCCATAAGCTGTCACTTAGGACACAAACATTGTTATTACTCGGACGACTTTTTCGCCTTATTTGATCTCTAATGAGGTAAGACGAAAAACCTGTTTAAGACGTTGGAGAAAAAAATTTAGATTTAAGTTCAAGTACATGAAAATTTAAATTTATTTTACCCATCAATATAAATGTATCCATTAGTCATACAAACTTTAAAAAGTTTTAATTTACTTTTTTTATATATTTTAAAGAAAAACAATTTTAAAATGTATTTTTATGATAATACGAAAAAACACTACAATAAATCCAAATTGTTTAAAACCTTTTAAATTTACTGTACATATTTTGAATGCTATTTTTAAAGTACTATATAATATTTAAATCAATTTTTATTTTACTAGCACGTATTAAATAATAAATTTTATAATTTTTTATATGTTATAAAACGAGAAACTCTTATTCCATTGCCTATTTTATCTAACATCATTAACATGATATAGAATAAATACTAATAGGCAATAACATACAATACAACAAAAATAAAAATAAAAATTACTATCATAAAACATAGTATTAAAACAAATATAAGTTGTAGAATAAACTACGGATAAACAACAAATTTAATACAATTAAAAAAAAAAAAAAAAAAAAAATGAAAACATAATTTTACTATAATAATTAATTACTATACCTAGCAAAGGTTCAGGAAAACCAGACATCACTTGTGTATAAAAGAGTAGTTAATTGCTATTTTTAGTATACTTATTTAAAAAAAAAAACTAAACTTCATTGTAAAATTAATATATTTTTAATTTCTCTCAGCTCTTGAACTACAAAATGAATAAAAACAAAAACAAAAACTCTAATAATAATGTATAGTTATTTAAAGTATATTTAGTATTATTTATAATTTATAAGCGTTGTGTTTAAAAGTATTACGATAAATAAGTCTTTACCTGATAGTCTATACATATAAATTATAAGTTATAAAATTATTTTTATTTATAAAAAGTGTGTTGTTTTTGTTATCACGATTGAGTGATGACTGATGACAATATAATTGGAATTACATTACTAATTATTTTATACATTTATATAAGAAATGGGGAAGGAGTCTAGTAGAACTACCATTGTCAGAAAAGCGCAAAATACTTTATTTAACAAAATTCTTATCATTTGATCCTTTGGAGACCTTTAAGGTTTTAAGTTTATTATAATATTGAGCGCGCTCATTTTTAAGAACCTCACATGATTTTGTCAAATATTAGTGCATTCAATTTTTCAACTATAATAGATATTCTAGGATTAAATTTTTAATTAGAACATATTTTTAGATATCGAAAAAAGTTAAAAAAATGGTAAGTTTTGTGGAAAATCATTGTTTAAGAGCTATATTATAAATACTTAATATTGATACATTTTTTTTTTTTTTTGTATAATTTATATTTTACACTATTTGAACATAAAAAGGAATATCAATGCCTAAATTTGAATAATATATTTTACAATTTATTGCTTAATTTACCTGTATTTTATTAAAATTAGTTAAGGGAATTGGAAACGGTGATTTTCTGTCTTTGTCTAGTACACGTGCAACATGAATTAGAGAAGTGTTATTTCCAACGTATCTATTGATATAATGAAGCGATGAGCATTTTGAAAATAGATTTGAATTTGTTGTCAAATCTACTTGATATCGATTTTCCCAAATTTTTGATTTTATGCCAAAAATACCTAAAAACTAAATTATTAAAAAAAAAATTAAAAAATTAACTTATTTTAATTTTCGAAAAGTTAAAATCAAAAATGTGGGAAAATTAATCACAAGAAGACTTGACGCCAAATTCAAATCTGTTTTCAGTATTCTCTTCGCTTTATTATATCAATTTATACATTGAAAATAGAACACGTCCATAATCCTATGTTGGGCGAGCATTAGATAAAGACAGAAAATCACTGCTTCTAATCCCCTTAATTTTCGAGTACATATAAGATAAAACTTATCACATGTATTATAATAATAGTATTCTTTATTTTATTATTTTTTTACTATCATAATGATAATTTTTTTGATATTTATAAAACATATAACGTTGATTACATATTATTATCACAATTTAAAACGTATTCAATAGTTTAACAAAAATAATAAATATGTTTAATGTGTGGTAATTGATAAAAGTATAAGCAATAAAGCACTTAATGATAATAAATTAATCACGCGGATCAAACATTCAAACTACATAATAACCCTAAGCATTTTTTACTTAGTACATGTTGAATGTTATACCTACATATAAAATTATTAATTTAAACATGTTAAATTAAAATGTAGTAAGTTTATTTTATACGATATTATTTTCTTAATTATATTTCAAAGATCAATTTATTAATAACATTTTTCACATTAATGAGTATTAGTATTTTATCTTTTTAATTGTGACTCACATAAGTAAAGTATAGTTTCTGTTTATAAAATCTGTGTATTTACGTATTTATAAATACTTTAAAAACACATTTTATAAACTATAAGTTAGCATTTTCTGACCAGAAAATTATTCCATTAAAAATATCTTTGTAATATTTACAAGCAATAAATCAGATTAATTAATTAATTTAAACGGGTAGGTATGTAATTTTTACTTTTAATAAAACACTTATCACAATTAAATTATACACAATGTGTAAAATTATTTTATCATGATATTTGTTTTTTTTTTTTAAGCTAAAATGTATACAAAACAGTCAATCCTATAGTTACTTCAATCATTAGATAGTTCTACGCAGTATATTTAATAATAATTAATTTAAAAATTAATTGATTCAAGACATATTATTGTTCCAGTGAACTTCTGACTTCTGAGTAGACTATAATTTGTTCGTTTGAGTTCATTAACTTTCCGTTAGTAGTAGCTGTTTGACCTTGTAAAACTACACTCGTAACTGGCTGGGTTTGCACTTCGTATGTGTATTTAAATTAAAGAGGCGATCTCATCTATCACTTCGGAAACGCAGCGGCAATCGACGGTGTTCGGAAAAACCCAACGAAACGCAGAGGCGTCGACATCGATTCTCGGTTGTTATTTTTGTCAGTGGTGATTGTTCTTGACGGTTTGTACCTTTTGATTCTGTTGATACTCCCTTGATTGGTTTTGATTAACTTTCGTCTAGTTTTGTATTAATAATCCAAGATGTGTTGTTTTAGTTCATACTTATATTCAGTGTTGTTAAGTCCATAACAAACATTACGATGTAAATAATCATTTATTATTATTACCGAATGTCCGCATGGTTATCATGAATAAATCGATTGAGTAAGTTTTCACATAATGTGACTTATCGCAACAGTGAATTCCGCTGATCAGACCTGTGCCATTACCGGACAAACGTGATTCAACATTAACCAATATTTACGTTGTATATAATAGTAATAGATAATACTTACAGTACTTAATCACGTGATAGCTGATAAAAATAGTAATGTTGTTTTAACAATTTAAATATGTTTGTAAATAATTATATGATCAAAAAACGTATTTTAAACCAATGCAAATTGAATTATACTCCCATAAACTGATTCGATTAAACGTGTTAACATTATAATTAACATTCCATAAGTTTATTTCAAACAATACTATTTTCAATTAAAAACTCCATTTTAAAGATTAATGAATTACATTTTTAATATTTAACACAAGTTCCTATTTAACAATATATATTATATTTTTAACTACAAAATATGTCGTTAAATACTTGTATGTCAGTTTACTAAATATGTTTATTAATGGTAGAAAAGAACGCATTCATATTATGTGAACTTGACCTGAACGAGTTCAATTTTCAAGAAATGAACTTTAACGTGAACTAAGTTTTTATTTATTATGATCTTGAGCGTTTTCGGTTCGTTTATTGATCATTTAATTTTCATGAAACATATTATATTTATAACGTTTAATACTCTTTAGTCTTTGGTCTTTATCATGGCTATAGTCGTTTATTAATAACACAAAAACATAGACAAATCCATAGACCTTTTACTTAGTTTAAGGTCTATAGACAAATCATACTTAAACAATAATTTCTATTTTCACATCTAAATTTTAATTTTATATTATTAATTATAGTTCGGGTCACAAAAACTAGCCTCTGACCGCCACTAACCATACTCTGTTTCAAATAAAAAGGCATCAGACGGTGGACGAAAACTGGCCGAAACTTACGTATGTCTCCCCATTACCAACAGTTTCTGCCGTCATCCGTTCCGGCTGCAGTTCATAGATACCTATTGGCTATTCACTATTTACTAATTATTATTTAGTACTATTTAGTATTAACCTATTTGGCTATTTATTTTATTTATTAAAATAATTAAATGCCAAGCAATAATGATACTGTCGATATTGATGACTATACAGAAATTGAATGTGATTCATTTCGTGGTTATTCGATATATTTCAATTTAAAATCGAAAAAAAAAATCAAATAATTCAGTTGATTTATATTTCGTATATTTTCAATATAGTTCAAGAAGTTAACTTAATAGTGCATTTTTTAACACATTTTCTTTAGTAACTTTTTATGATTCTTGATAATAACATAAACTAGTTCACTTTAAAAACTATCAATTACTT